TGAGCGAGAGATGGAGATGTTTAAAATTGTGCTGTTGATATTATTTCTGTTAATTAGAAGTAAAAGTATAATTATTATGTATTACCTGAGAAATTTGTAATTGTATAAAATAAGTTAAAACATTTTAAAAAATTATCTCATATATTTTATGGACTTTCGCTCTTTGTTGTTTTTAAACAAATATAGATTAGGAAAAACTATTAAGAAGGTTAGTGCACAAGTATTTACTGTGATACTGTTTTTATTTTGCCGAATATTACCTAGTTGCTACTTGTCATTGTAAATAATTGTAATTTAAGTATATTTGTGTGTGTGTGTGTGTGTGTGTGTGTGTGTGTGTGTGTGTGTGTGTGTGTGTGTGTGTGTGTGTGTGTGTGTGTGAGTGCGTGCGTGCGTGCGTGCGTGGGTGGGTGTGTGTGTGTGTGTGTGTGTGTGTATGTGTGTGTGTGTGTGTGTGGGTGCGTGCGTGCGTGCGTGCGTGCGTACGTGTGTGTGTGTGTGCGTGTGTGTGTGTGTGTGTGTGTGTGTGTGTGTGTGTGTGTGTGTGTGTGTGTGTGTGTGTGTGTGTGTGTGTGTGTGTGTGTGAGTGTGTGTGTGTGTGTGTGTGTGTGTGTGTAATAAAAATTGAAAAAATAGGAATCCATAAAACTGTACTCTTGAAAATACTAAAAAAAATTATCACTTTATTAAATAATATTTTATTATTTTTAGATCTACTAAGTAAGTATATGGAGATAATGCGTTTTTCCATGAAGGAAATATTTGCACAGTAAACAGAATAATTACACGTAAACATATAGTATGTTACATTACTAGTGTGGAAAATCACTTTTCACACAAGTGATGTACAATATTTTTCCTACGACCACAAAATAATTTAATCAAAAAATGTAAAACCAGATTATTATAATAATTCAAATGTATTTAAAAAAATAATCAACAATAATCGTATTTATTTAATTTTCATATTTTCTAAACAAAAAAAAAATTAAAAACAAAAAAAAATAAAAAAGAACAAAAAAAAATTCTGACCCCGCCAGGATTTGAACGCGGTCGCTCGCCAGGTCTCAAATGGCAAAGTTAATAAGTTTAACGCTGTAATCATCTAAGCTAACATGCCTTACGTCAATTGAATGATCTAATCGGTTTATGTGTTTAACCAGAATAAAGAGCAAACATAATATCTTAGTAATTTTAAAATTATTTTAATAATAATTGTTAAAGATAAATATCTAGGATCTAATTTATAACAATTTCAATAATTTAACAATCATATCGATTTAAGTATTAATATGGACATTACATATTTCAAAACAGAAATGATATGTTTGACATTTTATGACAGCTGCTGCGGCAAGTAACATATTCGTACGCGGGTGAAAAGTAAATTCTTATTCATACGTGTGTGATATAGGGCACTTTCCATAGTGTAATATAGTGTGATATGTGTCACTTTCCTAAGTGGTCGTTGGAAAAATTATTTTGCATTGTTTCTTCCACATTTTAAGTAAGTAATGAGGTAAAAATAAGTTGAATTTGATAATGAATATTTAGAGAAAATTAAAATTTTTGCAACTACATTCTGGAAGGAGGCATTTTTAAATGTTTAATTGCAAGTTATTGTTAGGACTTGCATATATTTTTTATTATTAGTAAACAAATAGTTTTTTACTTTGTTTATCTTATTCATGTACTTTTATTTTTAAATAATAGGTTATTGAATAATTTTGTTTGTATACAATTATTATAATCTTTGAAATATGATAAATTAATAAAAAACACAATTAAACAGTTTATTAAATTATTAGATATTTAGTATTAAAAAATGAGTTCTTTTAAGTTAACAATACCATTAATTTACACAGAAATATAAAAGGTTTATGTAAGCTACACTTTTCTTCTCATAAATATCATTGAGAATTTTAAATACGAACTATTAGGCAATCCTAAATATACCTTCGGTTTATTTTCAATTATTTTAATAGTTCACTGTTTATGAAGATCCTGCTCATTATTATTAAGTCCCTCTGAACCAGATATTAAAAATGTATCTTCTGATTCTAGCAAAACTTCACTATCTTCAAAACTTTCAGGAGTTTCTGGATATTCTTGCAGAATGGTTTTTAGGTTATGCACATTTTAAATTTCCCGAAAGGGACAATGTCAGAAATTGCTGCTGCATCTTGAACATATGGTGTATTTTTATTTAATAGAGATGAAAAGCACTTCTAGTAGAAGATTATGTTCCATTCAACTTTTTAGAAGACATTTTTTTATATTTTCTATTTATCTTTTTTTTTTTTTTTGGTAGAACCAGTAAGCTGGCTCTTCTGTGGTGAATAACAAGAACTGTGGACACATTTGTGTGGTACCATCAACTTCTGAATATACCAAGGTTTATTCATTTAAAAACGAGCAGTTTTCAAAATCATCTGGTATCTAAAAAAAAAAGAAAAAGAAAAAAAAAACATCGTTACTACAATGGTTGATAATTAAAATCTAATAGATTCCAATAAAACGTTTTCATTTTAATAAAAAGTACAGAAACAAACCTCAAAATAATTTATCTGTTGCTTACAGCCTTTCTGGGTAATAATAATATTAATAATAATTTTCTTTTTTCATATTTCTAGCAACACTAATAAATATTTTTATTATTGAATGTGAATCATTATCACATCTTGGGAGGAAACACTTTTTCGTACTCATATTTACAAAAACGTACAAAATTAAATAAATTATTGATTGACACAACACACAAATTCTTGATTGACAGATGACACATAGAGTGCTGTCACATTGCCATTTTCTTGTTTATTAGATGACGTTTTTTAAAACAATGGAGCTATAAATATGGTAAAAATTTAAACAATACTTTTAAAACATTTAATATTTTATATTTAAAAGGTATCTGTTTAACGATATTTTAGAAGTTTAAAAGTAAGATGGTGGACAAAAACAAACGTATATTACTTCTCGTATACCGTCTAATCGACTTCTTTGTGTCGCTAGTTTCTACTGGTGTATTCCCGGGTACGTCATAAATTTAAAAAAAATTAATAACTCTGCAATTGAATAGATAAAAAAAAATTTATTGTAGCTTTATTTTGAACTGTATTATTAATAAAAAAAAATTAAAATTTTTAAACATGCCCCATTCAATTCCACACAGTGGCGTAGACAGGAAATAATTCTAAAATGGTTTTGAGCCCATTTCGATTTATATAATGCAATACCAACCCATTTAATCAATTATTCAATTAATCAAAGTTATCAATTATTGTAAAAAAAAATATAATTAAAAAATGGTTTTATTACAATTTGTATAGGAGTTAATAAGGTTCTATTGGTGGAGAAGATAAAGCATTTAAATATATTTAATTCCATAATACAAATTCTCCTTTTCAAATTTTATTAATAAACGTATAAAAAAAAATTACAAAGTAAATGGTTTATCTTACGATATGTTGGCTTGGAGCCACCCTCATGGCTGCAAACCTGGTTACATACGAAGTAATTAGCTGCTTTAGTAAAACTTAAACGCATATGAGGTTGCGAGATTTAATTCCATTTTTAGAAAACTAAGATAACTTAGTCCTAAAAAGCTGTCTACTTGTTATTAATGTATGCCCAAAAAAATCGACAAAAAATTTCATCAAGATCAACAAAATCAAAGAAATATGGTCATATGTGGTATTGACAAAGCTCAAAGTAAGCAAATACAGAAAAGAATTCAAAGGAAAGAAAAATAAACAGAAAAATTGAACCTGATTTGTCGCTTCCAGGACCTAGTGGTTATGAAACTATTAAAGAAGCTGAGAAACGGCAGCATACTGATGACTCAATCTCAGAATCTACAAGCCTTGAAGATGAAGACTTTAAATGTCCTTGCGTCGATAAACTTATAAAGAAAAAAGTAAAGGCAGAAAAATGTAACACACAAATGCGGTTATCATTACAATCTACTGCAAGAGAAACTGATTTATTGGGCTCGTCGAATCGAGCTGTTGCAAAAATAGCTAATACGGTCCTAAAAGATTTAAAAATAGTTTCCAAAGACAAAATGGTAAACATAATAGACAAAAATAAGATTCGAAGAGAAATCCTTAAAAACAGAGAAACCATTCAAAAACAATATAGATTACGTCAATTCAGGGATTATATTTTGATGGTCCTAAAGATCAGACTATATTTCAAGAAGAAGGACGACGTGTCACAAAACAAGAATATATTTCACTTATCCAAGAACTACAATGGAATTACTTTGGACACGCCTCGCTACAAACTGCAAGAAATGCTAAAAAAATAAGCAAAGGGTTACTATCGTGTTTACAGAAACAGAATACCTCTCTTGAAAATTTGGTTGTCCTTGGTTGTGATGGAACAAATGTTAATACTGGATGGAAAGGCAATATCATTCGAAAAATAAAAGTGCACATTGGCAAACCTGTTCATTGGAGTATTTGTATGCTCCATACCAATAAACTACCACTAAGGCACATACTACAAGAGTTGAATGGCAGTACCAAAGAGCATTATTCTTTCTCGGGGCCTTTACGAATACTTCTTAAAGACTGCTAAAAAATGCCAGTGATAAAATTTTAACCTATTACTACAACTTCCGAAACTTACAGAGACATATTTAAAACAATTTTTATATCAAATTCGTTCAGTTATTAGTATTGGTATTATTCCGGATAACTTGGCAAATAAAAATTCGGGTAAAATGAGCCATGCTTGTTGGTTCATCACAGCTAATAGGCTTCTTCGATTATATGTAGCTACTGACAATTCTGATAATCTTAAATATATCACCACATTAATTTTAAAGGTTTACTCCCAATGTGGTTTCATATTAAGGGCAAAACCACAGCTACATTATGGGACAATTCACTTTTTGCACGCAATTAAAGCATCTAGAGAGTTGCCAACAAATATTAAAAAGAGTAGTGTCAACTAATGCTTATTTTTCACACGCGTAAAATTTATTATTGGCAATGATGTTTGTTTCCCGTGACTTCGCAAGAGAATTGGCAATTCGCAGGACAATACTACAAAACAATAGATTTGCACAAGACAGAGTAAGTTGTATAACGGGTGGGAGGGTGGCAGGAGCTCGAGGTACAGCTACTTTAATGCGGTTAGCTATGGGGTGATTTATTATTTTTTTATTCTTCTTTTTATTTAATATTAAAATAGTCAGCGTATAAAAAGTATCAAACCATGCGAAATGCTGCACATATAACTAGGGCTTACGGCTTATTACGCGACCGCTGCAAAATACGCCTTTTTAGACCCTGCTAAATATTATTTTTTTAAAAAAAAATTTTTAATGGGAGCTTTAAGACACTATAATCAAAATTTTTTTCGGTACTTAAAGTTAAAAACAAAAAAAAAATTGGCTTTTTGGCTAAAAATTGAGTAAAATTGCCCAACTTTTTTTAGAGCACTGTATCATATATTTTTCAAAATCGATTTTTTTGCTGTTTTTAGCCAACTTTACTGTTCATATATAGTGTGTACGAAAAGTAACGTATTTGTTGATATTTCGATTTTTGATAGGATTGAAAAAACTTGTTAAATAAAAGTTTTATGAAATAAATAAAGTCATTAGAATGAGTCAATTAGAAATATACCTGGTTCACCATTACTCCAGAATAACGCAAGTATATTTTCTCAGTTTTTTGTATTCTATTATGGTTTTACTTAAATATTTGATAGATTAAATTAATCATTATTGTTTAACGTCTTTTGTAATATATTTATATAAGAATACAGTATAACAGCGTTTCTAAACCTTTTTGTATTTGGGGCCAAATTTTCAATAACAATTTTTACGGCGCCCCCTACTTTTCTTTTTCTTATAATAATAAAATACGACGTATATTAGGCCTTAAAAATGTTGACCCTAATCCCCTTAATGCAGTGTGTTGTTAGTGCCTTAGACCCTAGACTCTAGGCCTAGAGCTTTAATATAGAACTTACTCACATACCTTTAAAATTACCGAGAATAGGTAAATTTATTAAAACTTGGCAATGAGGCAAACATAGAGTGGAAGAATTGTATTGAAATATGTACCAATGGTGCTCGTATAATGTCTAGAAGATTCCAAATTGTACAAGCACGTGTAAAACAAAAATATCCTCAATGTTTCTGGATCTATTGCATGATCCACAGAAAGGCCCTGAATTTTAAAGAAATGAGTGAGTCCTTGTTTCAACATTGTGCTAACGACGCTTGTAACTGTAGTAAATTTTATAAAAATTAGATGCCTAAAAGCAAGAATCTTTAATTCACTTTACAAAAATATGGGTGTAGAACATTCGACGTTGCTATTTTATTGTGAGGCCAGATGGTTATCACGTGGGAAATTATTACAACGTATTTAAGAGGAAATCGCCACTTTTCTGTAAAAGGAAAACCGCTTGGAAGCCGGTTAGTTTTGAGATGCTTTATTTGTAATGAAATTGATTAATTTGGTCGACATATTCGAGAAATTAAATACCATAAGTCTACAATTCCAAGGAGCAAACACACATATGTTAAGTACCAAATGTGTGTTTGCAAATGTGAATGAGTGTGAAAAAACATACAAGAGAGAAGAACAGAACAGTATGTGAAAGTTGTTTAGCCATGTTAGCACATAATATTAAAAAGTAATTTCTTGCTGACGACAATTTGGTACGAGTGGGTTAGGGATCCATTTCGAACTACTCCTAATGGTCTCACATCTGCAAAAGAAACAATCTTAATAGATTTTACTGCAAGCAGCAAAATAAAGAAAAAAATTAGTAATAAATCTCTTTGAATTTTGGGCGGGAGTGGATGATGCCTTTTCTCCACTGAAAACGAGAGTATTTCGTATATTATTGCCATTATTAATATCCTACCTTTGCAAAACCAGATTTTCTAAGATGGCTGTTTTACAGACAAAACAAAGGTCTCGACTGAATATAAACAAAGAACTGAGAGTGGCTATTTGTAACATAAAACCAGTGAAAAACTTTGCTGTACGAGACAGGTCCAAGGGAGTCACTAATAGTTATTAAAGCTACGTTTAATTTATTACTGATGAGCTTATTACTAGTTTAATTTGACAATACCTACTGATACAATCATATTCTTAATATTTAAATATTATATTAGTTTAAACGTGTACTGTACTTATTTAATTTTTCGTAGTGTCATAATGAATACCGTTTTGCTTTTCTTTCTGTGAAATAAGTTTTTTTATTAGTAATTATTGGTTTATTTTCGTTCTTATATGCTGGCGCCCTCTACGTAGGTTGAGAAATACTGCAGTATACAGTACTTCAAAATTAATTGCCTTTGGATAATGTACTAATGTACTATATCACATAAGGTCTTATTCTAGTTATAGTTACAAATAAACGTTAAAATTTTGCAGAATACCAACATTTCTATCCTTATAGTTTCTTCAGGGAGTTTAAAGGATGGCAATTAGCCTGATAAAATTGATACTAATTTATCAGAAGTATTTTACGTAGTCTAACCAATTACCTGCATAAGTGTTATTACAAATTATCTTATTGTCTTCTATGGGTTGACGATTTCTGGTTAACATAAATAAGAAAAAAATTGAACCAATATTTCTGTAAAACAGAATGTGTATTTAGATATTAATACAAGAATGTATTTTTATGACTGAAACCTTTTTTATCTTATATTATTGGGTCATATTTTTTTATAAAATACGTAACAATAAATTGGAAAATGGTCTTAAAATTGTGATAGTTTTATGTTTTTTGTTTATCAAGGAAATAGAGAAAAATGAGTTTGATATATTTTAACAGAGTGCTTCCTCGAAATTCTCTAGAGATATCTTTTTGTGACTTTTTAGCTGATATTCAGTCAGTAAAGATTATTTTGATGATTTTTTTCTTTTAATTATTACGAGTATAATTGTTTGAATTTCAATATTATGTAGGTACTTCCGAATATAGACAAGTCAATATTTGTAATAAGACTTACTTGATGATGAACTCCATTGAAAATATATCCATTAAAAAAAATCTACAAAACCGTCTGGATTAAATCTTAAATGTCATTTAAAAAAGAAGAAGACCCTCTGATTTTTGCATGGCGTTCTTTAGAAAAATTTTTGTGGTACACTATACACATTTTCTTTTCTTCAAAACAGTAAATTAGTTAAATTTGAGATAATTTAGTCAATTAAAATTTAGAACACAGAAATTTCAATAGAAGGGAACTTTAGTTTGTTTTGATCGCATTTTTATTTTTTTATAAATAAAAAACACTATTTTTGTATTCTATGTAAAATTTTACAAAATTTAGCTGAATTATCGGAAGACACAAAAAACGTTCCAAATAGGTAAATACTTTTTTGTAGAAACTTAAAATTTAATGGGTTATAATACAAGGGGTACCTTTTTTATAGTTAGATGCAACCAATTACGAAAACTAGATATAAATATGTGTTGGAAAATAAATGTTCCAAACGAATTTTTCAACTTTAAACGCAATGTATTGTGTACTAAAAAAGGCATGTCAATGGCATTGTAGTTATCTTTAGAATACAAAGGGTATAAATACCCGTTGTATTCTTAGCCAGTCCTGGGATATTCTTACATTCTCGCCTATGATTCTTATGTATTATGTGTTTTGTGCATATTATTATACTCTTCATAAAGTAGTCTGTGAAAAGTATTATAAGTTTATTTTCGAGGAACCAAAATTTTTAATACCGATCCAAATTTAAAATTTTTTGCAGCATGACATTTCTCATCAAACTTTAAACAACTTTTAAAATTGTCACGATGTCACGTTTTTTGTATGCATGATAAGGTAAAAACAAAAAATGTTTACAGAGCTAAGCGGGCTTATTGTTGATCAGCCAAAACCCGGATTTGATAATATTATTGATGAGAGCTGCATGTTTCTGCAAAAATTACAGGTATAGATGAGGATCTTATTAAAAAATACATACAAATATGATTGTTGTTTCTAACTGTCTACTAGTAAATATTGACAAATTCAAAGAGTTCATGAAACTGTGCGCCCGCACTCTACAAATAATTCTTTTATGATATATAAATAATTCTTTTTGTCTTACTACCGATAGAGCAATTCACAGAAGAGTGTCAAAAAGTAAGAAATACAAATTTTAGAGTTATAAAAAAAGTTTTTTTCTGGAAAATGAAGCCGTGAGAAAAAAAATGTGGATATTCTACATCAGTGTCTCGTAAGTGCAGATCCTCTTATAGACCTAAAAGAAAAAAGCCCTAAAAAAAGGTACAGCACGCTTATGCGTATCAATGTGATAAAACCACTAGTAGATACACAATAAACCGAAATCGACTAATAAACTTTCGAGAGAACGTAAGCTTTTGATTTATTACTTGTACGCTTCGTGCGGTAATCCCACCGACACTAGACACTAGCGCTATCTGCTTCTCATAATTTATCAGCAACTAATTGATTCAAGAAATTTAGAAGATGGCGTTGCAAACCTGCATGTAGTTTGTCGTATTCGAAGATGATCGATGTTGGTTTAACTGTTAATGCAACCTGGTATCTGTCGTTGGTTCGGTATGAATATTTTGTGAAATATCTATATTTGATGATAGTCAGCTGGTCTGATTGCTCTGATTGTACAGTGTGTCCGCTCATTTGTTCTATACATATGCGTTATAGTCATTAATTTACTAAAACCAGTTTGGACGTATTATATCCAGCCAAATTGTGGGTAATTTTGTAGATATCTAATACAAAACTATTATAAAAGTAATTCAAATATTAACAGACGCCTTTAGATATGTGTCTAATCACGTTATAGCACATTATCTATAGTTATTACTCAAAACTATAATGACAGATTACAAGAACACCGTAATAATCTTAAAAAGTACTTGATATTGCACACTTTATAGTAGGGACAGAAGTTGGAAATGATTTTCGCAGTTTTCCCACTTTATACACAGAAATTGACAGTTTTTCTGCGACGTTACGCAAAGTGGACGCGATACACTGACACAAAAAATTATTTTATAGATGTTAATAACAATTTCGAGTAAATAGTTTAAAAATTTGTTAACAGCT